GAGGAGTGTAAATGGTTGGACGGTGAAAAATTAAATTTTACTATATTCATTTTATATAACTAACATTTTATTAATGAAGGAAATACTATATAAATTAATTTAAAGCAATACAAATAAATTTACCTCATTTCTAGTTGTTTGCGTGTTCTATAAATATTCTCTTCCATCACTAATATTTTAATAAATTAATTAAACATGAAATGTTAGTTTACAACAAGAGTAAGGTAACTAAAGACGGTGAATACTTATGCTTTGAAACTATAGTAACCCAATGAAAATGAAACTAACATGCATATCAATTAACTTTTGAAAAATCAATATAAAATATTTGATAGTTTATGAATATGATCAATGACAATATTTCATAATATTTAAGTTATTTTTATATATCAATAACATGACTATATCATTTTATATATGTACAACTATCACTAATACACTGTCTAAAAATTTACCATCTAAGATGCTTCAATAGCAGTATCTTTTTATATTTACAAGCACGGATATATTAGTAGTCCCCTGCTAGAAGCATAAAAAGGGGTAGTTGCACATAATCAAGCGTGCACATACAATTAATCTATGTAGTTCATATCATATACAATTTCATAACACTCAATATATAATATTTCATAATACAACGCATTCGTAATGCGAGACTATACATATTTATATGAAAATTATTGACAAATTTTAAACATAGAGAATCAATTGCATTAATTAACCATGAAAAACAATTCATATAAGTGATTCAGAAGGCATACAAAAACGACACTATAATTTAAGAGTAAGAGTACACATTCCATTTCATTTTATGACATGATCCTTTTCAAATCCTTTAATTTTTTTTTTCACGACTTTAATTTTCTCACCTGGTTATATTTCATAATATTCTAACATTAATTTGTAGCAATTTATAATTAAGCTGACTATCAATGATTACCAAATAAACACTAAATTTACCTTCTTATCTCTTATTCATTTACACGATACTATCTCAAATTCATTAGTTCTTTAATTCAAATGCTTGTTCAAACAAAATTGCTAAAATAAATTCATTAATTTTAAAATGTTGTAATAATAATATAATTAAAATAATTTATAGAATTAAAGCAAAAAATTATAAACCCTCAACTTTGTCCACATTGTCTTCTTATTTTGCACAAACACTGACTTAAATCTCTCAAATCCAAAACATTTATAACTTCAATTCTGATTTAATTAAACCAGTTATTCGACATTTAACACATAAAATTAAAATTAAAATTTTTAATTAATAAGATGAAACACTAACTCGCCCTAAAACTTGGTTTGGTCCCATACGCACGAGCAACATGCCCCATTTCCTTGCTTCCCCACGCATAGGACACACAAAAACGTTTACCCATATGTCAGTACAAGCAAGGATTCTTCTTCTCTCATCCGTTTGATAACGACACGGCTCCTTCATGCTCTGTACGACCTCGCGCCCACTTCCTGCATGCAAGAAGCAGCTTCCCTTGTTTCCTTATTCCTCGCTTCCTTCCTTTTGCTTCAATCACAAGTTTTGTTACCCTTATCGAGCTCTAATGCCTCATTCGATGCTTGCAACGCTCACACAAGCTCGGATTGACCGACCTTCTTCCTTCTCTTCTTAACAAGTCCTCCCAATATTCAAATTCACTCGAAGCCACTTAGGCTTCCATCGTTGTCTTCAAATGCTTCGTTCGGTCCCGTAGGTATGCTTGCACTTCCGATCAGTGTCAGCATCACCCTTGTCTCGCTCTCTCTTACTCTTGACAGCTTGTTTGCTTCACAAGATGTCAAAATTGTTCTGGATCAAAGCGAAGTTTTGTTTCTTCATATAAAGGTTAAATGTTTGTGCTCCTTTCCTTTCCAATTTGATACGACTTTTCTATTGTAACACCTAATAATAAAAATGTCATGTGTAGCATCATGTAGATTCCAACTCAGACATCTGAGGCCTACAGACGTTATCTATGGAGCTCCCAACTCTGGCCTCTGTGGCCTATGAAAGTTACACAGGTCATGAAGCTCCCAACTCCGACCCTCTAAGGCCTACGAATGTGATCTCAGCTCATGCAGCTCCCAGATGCTCCCAGGTTTGGTCTTCATGACCTACAGACGCTATCTCAACTCATCTAGCTCCTCCCAACTTCGACATATGCGACCTACGGATGTTATCAAAATTCTTGTAACTTTTAACTCCGACCACTGCAGCATTAACACAACCCATGTAACTCTCAACTCCAACATTTGTGATCTACTAATGTTATCACAGTTCATGCAGCTCTCAACTTCAACCTCTGCATCCTACAAACGATATCAAAGTTCATATATCTCACAACTCCAACTTCTGCAGCGTATATGACCAACTATGATGTACGTGGCCCAAAGCTCATACAGCTTCCAACTCCGACCTCTATGGTTTACAGACGTTATTGTAGCTCACCACTACATCCTATGTGACCAACTATGGCCTTCGTGGCTCACAGCTCCTCCAGCTCCTTATTGAAAACTTTGTGGTCAACCGATGTTCCTAAACCAACCATTCGTAGTCCACATGGCTAACTACTACTAAGGCTAAAAACGAGTCAAGCTTGAGCAAGCTCAAACTTAGCTTGTGTTTGGCACATTCTAAATTGCTTGTGTTCGAAATCGGCTCATGATCAAAATTGGGTCGTGAACAGTGTGTTCATGTTCGGCTCAATTTAAATATTCTTGTTTGTGTTATGGTTGAAATTAACTAGTTAAAATTAATTGAAAAAAATAGATGTAATGCGTCATATTCGAACTTACACCAACTCTATGCAATAAAAACGCGGAACCATATGACCACACGGGCTGTTGATTTAAACTTAGATATAAATTTATTTAATATATTGTTATATAAATAATATATAATATATGATTATACAAGTAATATATATAATTTCTTTATTTCGAGCTAAAAAGAGCTAAACACGAGCGAACAATGGGTCGCTCGTGTTTGACACAATTACTTATCGAGTGAGTCGAACATGAGTTGTTCGTGAATAATGAGCTTTTTTGACAACCCTAACTACTAACATGACTTTCAATTAGTGCCTATAAGATAAACTGAAACTACAATCACCGTGTAAAATATTCACAATAGACTACTGTATAGCAACCGACCACGACCCTTATAACTTATTATTATCAAGAACTACATTCATTACAACCAGACTATGACAAGTATTACTGAACTATTGTTGTACAAATTTCTAACTCCATCTTCTTTAATTTAGGAGAAGAGTAAACTTATGTACTCACGATTACATATTGAATTATTTCAACTTGACTATGCCCTATGTATTTTTCTCCATTTCAGAACTTTTCATGTAAAAGCATACGATGTTTCTGCCTATCACTTTAATTATCTGGGTGTGTATTAGATATTCGTGCAGCTCGAAGACATTAAATAACCATTCTTCAATTGCGGACCTTCCGACACAAATCAGTAAAGTAGTCATTTTGCCCAAAACTCATTACCAGATTTAAAGGGAAAAGTAGGCAAAACGACCATATAACACATCAGTAAAATTTTGACCAATTTTGTAGTAATATTATTCAATTTCTTTTGTTTTATATGTCCTAGGTAAGAAAAAGAAAAAAAAATGGAAAAAAAAGATAGTATAAATAACTAATTTACAGATTGTAGCAATTGTACACATTTGGCTTAAGAATCTATATCATGCATTCTTTCTATGTTTTCCTAAACACTATTACTACATAAAAATTTGATCTAGCAGCAAAAAGAAAAGGATCATCAAAAAGATAATTTCCTAAATTATTAGTCTAAGAATAGCAAATCTGGCGGTCCTTTTGGCTTTCTACTTGCAGAGTTCTCATTTTTTATCATGTTAATGTGTGCTATTCTATGCTAATTTATCTGTTGAAGAATGAAAATATAATATGAAAAAACAGTTAATTTACTAGATTCTGTCATTTTCTTGGATGTGACAAAGAGAATAGATTAAATACGAAACTCTAAAAATAGTTTAAAAAACTTCAAATATGTTTAAATAATTTCCACATGTTAAAACAGTGAAAAAAAATACATTATTTTTAAACGATGCTTTTTATCCCCAGGAAATCAAATGTGTTCAACACAAACTATATTATAGAATTATAAAGGAAAAAAAAATGAAAACTCTTGCATAAGCGACCGCCATGTAATGATTTTCCATGAACTCCAACGCACCCATACAAAAGAAATGCAAGAACAAAAGACGAGGAGATTCAAAACTCGAAATCCATAGTTCCCAAAAAAGACTCTAAGCCATGGTCGTAGCATAATCCTTTACAAAATTACAAATTTTGGCCTCACTTGGTTACATGAAAATAAAAAATATACTTCAGAAAAGGATGATTATATTTTTCCTTGTTTTTTAGCAGAAAATAAATTACAGAATGTGTTCGCAGCATTATCCATCGTACAGAGAAACAGATTTCTTCACATTTCTTTCTTTCTTAGCGCTTAGTCATTATTGAACACGAAGACTCCTCCGCCAAGCAAGAAAACACAAAGGGAATGAGATAGAGAGAGAGAGAGAGGAGGGGATGGGGGAAATATACTCCCAACTCCCTAAAGAAAATAAGCAAGCTCCCAATAATTTCACCTCCAATCCAATCTAAACTATCCATAAAAGAGAACTCAATAACAGAAGGAAGTGAGAATTCAACATTCTGAATTGTAATTTTCAAATCAAAACAAATGCCCAAATCAAAAAATTGAACTAAAGAGCACCCTGACCATAACAAAATACTCTAAAAAACTAGAAAATTTATTTTAATTTATCTATCATCATATAGAGTTGGATTATAACCTACAACCAAGAGCATAAACTGCAATGCTCTTGCCAAACGTAACCAAAAGCTTCAGGTAGAAAATAGAGAACTACAAGTCTACAACTACAACAGAGTGAGAGGGGGAGGGAGGGAGGGACAGAGAAGGAGAGAGAGAGAGACAGATGACTTACAGGCTAGTGGGAGACGGAGAACACCAAATCCTAAACAACAACAACTCCGAGTTAACGGCAGGAGGAAGATGAGGAAGTGAGGTGGAGAGCTGTTGGTGAGACTGCTGTGCTGTCTTGACCATCTATGGACGCCTGCCTTTTTAATATTATTACTTTGTCAGGTCTCTAAGGGTTCCATATCGTTAGCAGCATTTTGCATAATAAATTAATTATTTATATTAATTTTAATATTGTCTTTTTTTATTTTTATTTTAAACATTTCATCAATTAAGAGCCCGTTTGGGACGGCTTATTGGGAGAGGCGGCGAGAGGCCGCATTTCCATCCGTTTGAAAAATACGTTCACATGATACGTTTTTTTGTTCTACCAATAAGCTATTCTAGATAAGCTGTCTCAAACAGTTTTACCAGACAGGAGCAGAAATGACATTTAACCACGAATAAGCTAATCTGAAAAAGCAGACACAAACAGCAAATCAGATTATTTTGATAATCTGCAGTTTATCAGATTATCAGAATAATCTGTTTATCAACATATTATAAATAATTAACAGCTGCGCCAAACAGAACCTAAATCAATAAAATGTACTTCACAGTTGACACCAACTAATAAATAAATAGGGATATAAAACCGCTCATCACGGCCGAATCAAAACAAAACTGCAGAAGACGTCACGTGTCTTCTTTAAAGTTTCACCTCCCTCTCTCTCTCTCACTCTCTCAGTCTCTCTCTAATTTTAGGTTGGATGCCTCTTCGTAATTTTAATTTTAAGAACAAAATATTTCAGAAATATCTTAATTTTATTATTATATTTTAGCGAAATATATTTGCTCCTTTTTTTTAACAAGGTTGTTATCTTTATTTAATTTTTAATTTCAGATAAATTACATTAGATTAGTTTTTAACGTGTTTTTCTTCTTAACTTTTAAAATAAATCAATTTATATTTAAAAAACATCAAAATCTTGTTGTAATTGTCTTCATTTTATTTAACAGGAATTTTCTTTTACTGAATTTCACATATGATAGCGAACCCTTCAATTCTACACACATAACATTCAGCATAACAATAATTACATATATAACACTCAACAATATCAAAATTAAAACAAATTAAAATCCATTAATTGATCACGAATGATCTCTTAATGTATATATATATATATATATATATTAGCAAAAACCATCCATTATATTGATGAAATAGAAGAGTTTACCGTACCGTTCTAAGGTAGGGAATCTGTAAAAAATCACCCTTTAGCAAAAATGACAAAGGAGGGGGAGGAAGGGAAGAAACTAAAGTAACATCAGTTTGACTTACTAATCTAGCAAGCCAATTAGCTAGTCTATTACATTCTCTGAAATTAAATCTTAGCTGGAAGATGCAATCATTT